GGGGGGGGGGGGGGGGGCGAAGCAAGAGGAATTTCGCCCGACTTACGACTGATGCCGAAATTATGCTCGACCTCCAAGTGACTATGGAGTTTTGCCTGAATACCATCTAACGCTGGAGTTCTCCCCAGCCGCTGACTGACATCGGACTTTGTCACGACCCAACCCGACCGGAACGAATCCCGCTCGCATCGGGTCACGACGGGACTTGAAATTTGAAATCTAGGATCTAGTTTTGGGACTTGCTTCAGAACTTTTTTCCAAATGTAAAAACAAATAGAAACACATAGCTGCTATAGACTTCCAAATATACAAAACAATTTATCTATATTTCTTTCATCAAAATAATCATATACAATATAGTTCATGGCTTATAGATAGAAAGAACAAAATAGAAAAGCCTTGACTGTACAAAAATCAAAAGTAAAAAATACCTAATCACTGATCAGACATAGAACTTCTAGTCCAAGACTTCCTTCAATTTCCCATAACCTGAAAGCCACGCAGAAAACAAGAATGAGCTAACAACTTAGCAAGACTACACTCACTAATCCAAATCTCCATAAATTCACATCAGAAAATACATCAGAAGCAGATATTCTAATAGCCTACAAAAATCGTATAGAAATCATATAGTCATCAGAATATAGACACTTGCTCAAATAGAAGTCAAATCACTGATATAGAAAAACGGAATTCACTTCATAAACATAAATCGTACAAAACAACAGAATCGTACAGAACATATTTCAAATCAGATAAAATCACATTTCAACATCAGATCACATATCAGATTTCAGATTCCCATACACTTACAGAATCTCTACGGATTCTGGCCCTTCATGCCTCCCTCCCCTGACACTGACAGAATCTCAACGGATTCTGGCCCCTTATGTCTCCCTTTGTGCTTGTAGCATCATAACAGAACATATATATGAAATTTTTAGAACAGAACTTATTCTCAGATTTTCAGATTTTTCAGACCCAGACAACGGAATCCCAAAGGATTCCAGCCCCTTATAACTCCCTTTTGATATCACAGCACAATAATTTATTCAAATCAGAAAATCGGATTATGTCATAAAATCGTCAGCAGCATAACGACAATATACGGAATTTCCATAAAATTCACAGACTCAGAAATTTACCAAATTACCACAGATAGTACACAACATCATTCTAAGACTTTCATTGTACTGAGACAGTAAATTCAGACATCCAGATAAATTGTTATTCGATCAAAACTTCGCAGAATTTAAAATACCTGGTAAAAATATTCCATAAAATACTAAAAACGTGCACAATTATCATTTCAGAAACATACCAAAAGTTACGCGATAAAACATTTATCAGTACAAAACGGAATCAATTATTCGCTAACGAAAACAAAATCCGAAACAAAAAAGTCAAAATCCTCATTTCTGAAAATTGAGAAAGGCGGAATGTGTCTTACCTCGAGTCGATCAACTTTCTCAACTGCAGCTACGAACAGAAACGAACAGAAGTCGTCCAAAAATCACTTTTTCTTCTTTTTTCCTTCGAATTTCTCTCATGGGCTTTTTTTCTCTCTTCAAATAGATCTCGTTTCCATATAAACCCATGCAGATCGTCCCGGACGATCCCAGATCATCTCGGGACGATATGTCCTATGGACGAATTTCGTACATACGAAATTAAATATCGTACCTGGACGAGTTGCTTTCTGGAAAAATTTCATACGGACGAACCCTAGTTTGTGCTGGGACGAACCTTCCAGCCAAAATTTTCTTCACAACCTGTATCGATCGTCCCAGGACGATCCAACTTCGTCCTGGACGATCCTGGAAGGAAAACATGAAAAATGAGCTTTCACGGACTTCTACCCGACGCCGGACCTCCGCTCATCGTTAGATTTCTACCCGACGCCGGACTTGTGTCAATCGTTAGATTATCGTCAAATATTTATCTGATGATAGATTTCTATCCATCATTAGACTTCTACCTAAGTATAGTTCTTCCAACCTCCGTCGCCCGCCAACTATGATCCTTCCGACCTCTGTCGCCCGTCGACTATGGTCCTGCTGACTTACGTTGCCGATTGACTACAGTTCTTCCAACTTCTGTCGCCCACCAACTACGTGTTGAGTCTAGTAATTAGGTTGTTAAGCCTAAGTGAATGTCCCAAGGCTACCAAGAGGGGGGTGAATTGGTAGTTTTAAAAAAACAAAGTTAAAATTTAAGACCCCTTTTTAAAAATTATTGAACCGAAATAAAATCTCTTTTAAATTTTGTAGAAAAAGTCCTATACAGGTCAAGTCAATCTTCAACCAACGGTTCAACCAGTCTTCACTTGTCTTTCAGTAATATAACAATATATCAATCATATATCCACATTCGTAGGCATATTCAATCAATCAAATCATCAAGTCAGAAAATCAGAGGTCGTACGAAAAATCGGCGGCATAACGGCAGCACACGGAATGTACACAGAAATCACAGATTCAGAAATTCACCAAATTACTAGAAATCGAAGAAAACAATATTACAAAGCTTTACTTGTACTGAAGCACTATTTTTCAACAGCCAGATAATTTTCTATTCGATAAAAATCGCGCAGAACTCAAAATAACGTGTAGAAACTTTACAGAAAATACTCAAATCATGTAAAAATATCATATCAGAAGTTGTGCAATAAAACTTTTGTCAATACAAAATTATGCACGTTTTTCGATAATTAAAGCACAAAACTGAGCACAGAATTATCAAAACTCGAAATGTTCGAAATAAAAAATAGGATTCGGATTTCTTACTGCAAGACGAACAAATCTTCCAACTGCGTCGACGGACGAAAAGCGCTCCGCGGGCTCCAAAACCAAGTTTTTTCCTTACTTTCCTTCACTTTCTCTCTCATGCTTTCACTTTCTCTCTCTTCAAATGAATCCAAAATTATCTCTATCGGATATTTATCAACACTGATCGTCCCGGACGATCCAAATTCGTCCCGGGACGAACTCCTCTGGAAACAGATCGTACAGACGAAATTAATTCCAATTTATTTTGTCCCTGGACGATGCTTTCGGGTTCAGTTCGTCCCGATGGTTCGTCCCAACCCTTCCAGGTTCGTACAGACGAAATTGACATTTTCTTCACAATTTTCTTCAGTTCGTCTCGTACTAAAGCCAGTTCGTATGACTAACTGCACTAAAAAAATCAGCTTGGAGGGGTTTTACAATAACATCGTTAAAGGAGGCGAAAAGTGTATACCAAAAGTTGATCGGCAACCAAGAAATGGAGAAGAGGAAAAGCAAACCCTCGACAGCTAGTCGAGTAGTGCTGCTATTGCAACTTTCACTATGAATTAATTAATTATTTAAGATTTTCCCCAAAAAATAATTATTTGAGTTCAATTTTAATAAAATGTAATTACTAATTACACTGTTAAATATTAGTCGTATAATTAATCATTTAAGTATTTATTACTAATAAATTATTAAATTAGTATTTGCACATCTAATTATAATTTTTTTTGAACACATCACATACGAATGATTTGAACCCAATGCCTCTTGATTGATAGTCAAAGATTTCAGCCAACAAACCAATGTGAGCTATATTAGTGCATGCATGCAAGCACGACTTAGGAGAGTGCGGTTGTGGGCACGAGCATGGTGCGAGCACAAGTCATGATGCGGACATGAGTGCAGGAGGGCTTAAAGTCGCGTGCGGGTGCAGCCGTCGGATTGCTACAGGCCAAAGGGTGACTCGGATCATTTCGGGTTGATTTTGAGTTTTGGATCAACCAGAACCAGACCAGATTTAGAAACTGATTAGAAATCAAAATCCAAACTCGTCCAATCAAAAAAACATGTTGACCTAAACCCAGAATTTTCTGGGTCAAGTTTTAGGTCAAATCAAATATTAACACTCCTAATAAAAATGAAAAAAAATAGCGCTAATTTATTTTTCTAAAAAACTAAGTGCATAATGTCGGGGCCGCACTTTTGAGCATGGAGGCGCCAATCAGCACAACACCTAGGTGCTAGAACACCCGACATTGCGGCATCGTAGAGGACAATTTTATATTTCTCTAATATGCATACAAACCTATGAAGCTTACTTCAAAACTCATACAAACATTTTTTGTATATACATTTTCACTTCTAAAATGCATAAAAAATGTTCAAAACACAAAAGTCCAAGCATAATTGACTTTTTAATTCGTGTCATAATAAGTTGAACAATGAACCAAATGCTGAACTTGAAAGTATTACATCGTAGGACGCAACCCACTGCCAACTAACACCACCGTCATCCACCATTAGTCACCATTTTCAATTTTACACTATATTCATTTTATTCAAATCAAATAAAAAATTCATTAACTTAAAAATTTATTTTACACTTTCCAAAGAACTCAAAAATATTTCTCTTTCATAAGTCTTTCTCGCCAACCAAACAGCCCGTTGATACTCACTCTATTGTAACCTAGCCGCTTTCCCTCCCTCCCTCACTTCACTCGACATTCCCTCGTCCGAAACGCCCCAGCCAAATCTCTCTGTGACGTTCTTGCTCTCACACACTTCCGACCTCACTCACGCCGACCCCATCTTCCCTTCCCAGGATGCCGACTCCGCCGTCCGACCCGACCTAGCCGACCTGACCTCACCGACCCAACCACAGCAGCTCTCCTCACTGCCATCCTCCGCCATTCTCCTACTTGTAGCCGCCGTTCAAGGTACAGTCCGCCGCATATTTCATCATACTCGAACGCCATCTCCTTAACTCACAGAGCACAGCCCCTCCCGTGCCTCTCGCTCTCTGCCTCCTCACCCGCTCCCCCTATCCGCTCACTTTAGCAGCCGTCTCATTTCAAACTAAAAAAAACAGAGCTCACAATGGAAACCGAACTCCTCACTACTCACGTAACCTGCACTCCATAAGCCAGCAGCTATTGTTTACAAGTCCAACCATCAGCAACCATATAATTAATGTTGGACGTGTGATCATTCTCTTTGAAAGGCTTTGATCCTCGTGATTGTGTGCGCGCAAGAGTCTAACATGTGCATAAAATGAACCCTCCAACTATTTAGTCTGGCTAATTGGTCTCTTGGATTTTGCTAGAAAATCGATTATTGACATCAGCTAATGCCAACCAATGCCATTGTTTGAATGCCTAACTATTTCTTCGATGGTTAAGGGCCTTTTCTTTTGGCTGTAATTATTTCGTAGTGTAAACAATATTCTTGCATGTAAAGGCAATCCTTTTGACTGCACTTACATTCCATTATTGCTTAGTTTTTTTTGTAGGAACATGTACTAAAGTTTGATTTCATGTAAAATAAAACTTACTACTTCGCAATGAACCAACACACCAAAAATAAATGTCCCATATTCTTTTTATGTTGCATCTATTTTATATCAAACAAATGTTATGTAGTTGCATGGGAGCGATATTATGTAGCTTGTTGATTGAGAAATAATGTAAATGACATTATAGTTTTTTTCTTCTCCAATTCATCCCTATTCAATTGCATATCGAGGATTGCAATATGTAAATCTGAATTGTGAGTGGTGGGATCATTGTTTTAATTCAAATAAAATGATAAAATCTTAGGTAGTTTTGAAAAATTGGTTTTAGTTGGGTTGTAACTTCCACTTAGTGCTTTAGCTTCAATATTCATAGTTTTAACGATGTTGTTCTACACTTTTGTTTATAGTTTATCATAATTTTGAATTTCATTATATATTTTTATTACGATGAGTTGTACAATTATCAAATATTGTATTCATTAATATAAAAATATCATAATTTAATTAATTTAGATGACCGAGGAAAATTATATTCGACAAGTTATTTGATATTTTAATTATAAGGTTAGAACATGATGTAGTTGTAATGATATTGAAAGTCGATGTATAAATGGAAGTAGAGTTGTAAGTAGAATCATGCTAATATGATCAAGTGGAGGTATAAATGGAAGTTGAGGTATAAAGAGACTTATGGAAATATACTATATGAATGTGAAATATGTTTTGAATTTATATGGTACATGTTATGTTTCTTAAATTTATTATGTTCTATTTTGTTATAATATTCATTTTCAAGAAATGTTTATGTTATTGTCTTGGACATGTTCATACTATTGACACGTGACTACTATTGACACTATTCATATTGTTGTAATCATGTAATGATGTTGTATACACTTATATTTATTGTTGTTTGATGTATTTAGAGAGGTGTGGGTGTTGTCATTATTGATGAGTTAAATTAGAATTAAGATTAATTTTTTCAATTAGATTCCTTGGGCGTGACAACATAGAGATAAATCAATATTGGTTATTGGTTAACCTATCAATATTTACTTTAAGTTCTATATTTATTTACACTGATGAAATTTATTAGTATATGGTTATGCCAAATTTTAAGGTTTTTTGGGGGTTTAATTAGAGAAAATTTAATCACACATTTATGATAGGAATCATTGATGTTAAATTATTCTGACCCTTTTTATGTTTAAATCTACTTTTTAACCAATATAAAATCTACAATTAAATATAATCATAGATCTTAGTGGATGACTTTGTGGGCATGTTCCGTGAGAGCTTGTCTTAGAGTCTTATTGATGGCACAGGTTAAGAGAAAAAAAAAAAAGAGGAAAAAACAAAGTGGCAGAAGTGTTTGGTTTTAGGCTGATTTCTCCCAAAACAAGCTAAAATATACCTGAAGATAGTGGAATTAGCATAACCTGCTTGAAACTGATAAGAGGCTACATTTTCAGATCAAAAAATGTTCATAAAACTCCAAAATGAGTGTTTTGGATTTTTTTTTTTTTAACTTTTAAAATTGTGATCTTAGGCTTCCATCTCCTTATCTAACTGAAGATAACAGTTTTCCTTCTCTTTCTTCTCATCAGTTTTCCTCACTAAACTTCTGCTGTTGTTTCCTTTTGTTTTGTTATTTCCGAACTTGGAATAGAAAAGCACCCCTTAAATCTTATGGTTATTTCTTGTGTAACATTCTCTAATTTTGGAATTCAATTTTGTGTTTTTCTCTATCCTGTTATTTATAATTTTTATTCTATTGTAGTTCAATCAAGAAAGCTTCCATGAGTTCGAGACAGTCAGACTTTAAAAAGTCATTTCAAATCAGCATTCAGTCTATACTCACAGCAGCGTCCAAGGAGGTGATGATAGATCCATTTGGTTAGCAAATCTAACATTGTTTTTGAATTTTTTTCCCAGCATGTTGATATTTTCCATATTCCATGGAGGAAGATTATTTTTCTAAAATTAGCACAATTAGAGTTTTCTTTTTTTAAATATCGGTTTCTCTAGTTGGCTTTTATTTATTGTTGTTTTTGTTTAGCTTTTCTTTTGAAATGTCTTTCAATACAAAATTTTTGTTTGTGAAAAGCAAATTGCTATTTTCTACCCTGCACCTCCATCCCTCAATATTTGCTTAACCACTAAGAATGCTCTTATGTAATGTTGCAACTTAATGATAAGATTTATGATAATGGTTTCTTATCTTCTCAACAGGATGTACATGGAGCATTTTCAATGCGTTCTAATGCTGAGAAGGAGAGTTTGTATCGCTTGTTCATTCAGGTGAATAATTTGTTACTGTTATGTTTCTTGAGTGGGTGATGAAATTGATTGTTGTCAAAAAAATCATTTAGATGTTTATGCATTCACCTTCAGTTGGTAAGGATGTCATGCAAGCCTGTCTTTGAACGAATAGCTACAAAATCTCAGTAAGGGTGCTTTGCACTGAGAACTTCTTGTATGCCATTAGTCTGTATTGGACAGACTTGATTATATTTTAGGTATTTAGGCGAACACTGTGTGCTTTCATTTGCTGATACATATTGATGCTTTCCTGAAAATCTTTAAAGTTACAAGTTACTAAGAATATATTTTCTTGTTAATATTTCTTATTTTTCAGGTTTCCAAAGCTATGCATGAAAATATAGCGGTATGAAGCATCAACTTGTTATTCCCTTACTACATATATAGCTTCTTCAACTATTTCTTTGAAAGGACATCTGGCAATTTATTTATTTTTTGCATTAAAATATTATGGTTTACAAGTAATCTTCTCCTCGATCCTATGTTACTACATACAAAATTTCTATCGGAATCATCTGAATGTTCAATAACATATTACTTGAAAGAATTTATATCTTTCTCCAGAGCAACAATGATTGCATTTGGAAAGTTCTTCACCAATTGTTCAGGTAGAGAAATAAACTATTAGGATTATTTTGGAGATCCTATCTTGATGTGCAAACTGTCTGTTCCAGTAAGATATTACTTGGTTCTGGTGGTCATATTACATATCCACTTTATGTGGACATTTTTTCATTAATAAGTTAATAAGAACTGACCAATATCTGGTATGTTCGGATATAACTGACTTTGATAGAGAAAATAGTTCATTAATATCTGATATGACTCTTATAAATGAAGATAGTCATGGAATATCACAACTAGCCTAACAAAATAACATGTATGCACTTGAATCAATTGTTTTTTTTCTAGCAGCCTGGAGCTGGTCTTCAGTACTTCCTGTTTCCTGTAAGATCTGATCTTTTCGAGTTTATATTCTCTCCATGAATATACTTTGTTATTGAGATTTTACGTATCCATCATAAATAGGAGTTACATTTTGACAGATATAGTGGTTGGGATACGTATGATGCTTATGAATGAATTCTCTTATCCAATTCAAAATATTAGATGTGAAGTTATGTAAATTGAGTAATCATTATCAAGTTTAATGCGGTAAGATAAAAAGAACAATAAGAACAATGACATGTTATCAATGTTTTATTGACTTTCACCTGAATAAATTGCCTCATTTTGCTATGAAGTTATAATCGAACCATAAATGAGAAGAAATAAACAAAACCTATGATAAAGAGCTATAGTGTTATCAAATCATTTATGATTATTCATTTTTTAAATTTAGGGTGGCTTGTAACTGCTTTCTATACGCATTAATCAATACCTTGATGCCAACAAGAAGTCATCTTATGCTTGGGGAAGTTTAGAAGAAAAAATTATATAAGAGATATTTGTTCCTAGTATTATATCTATATACAACTATATTAGAGTCATGCCCGAGAATAGAGGCTATAAGATAAGTGAAATAACTTGAATTGAAAGGCGTGAAAATAGTTCTCTGTTAAAAAAATAAGGGAAAAAAAAAGAAAAGAAAAGAAAAGAAAAGAAAAGGATAGAGACAACATTAGTGTAAATTAATAAAGTTATTGGTAGCTGATGAAATCGGGCCTTAAGTGAGAATAATTGCTCATTAGGATCATAAATCTTATCTTGGTATTGTTCACAGTATTCAGAAAAAAAAAAAACGAATCTTCCTTACCTTCCTATTACCTTCTGGGTCATTTTCCTTGTTTTCTTTGTTTTCTTTTGCCTTAATTTATATTATTTTATGAACATGTGTTAATCACATACTCTCCAATATACTCTGCATTTTTGTACCTGGTAGAAGGCATACGTACCATTACACATGTAATTTAGTGATGTCCAAAGCATATATCAATGATCAAAGTTGTCCAACAAGAAGTCGTGAGCATCTTTTCAGATAATCAATCCAATAAGATGTTTGTGGCTTACCGATAATCAATGCTTAAAGAATGCCTTTTCCGTGAGCATCTTTTCAGAATCAACTACTTCATCTCGCAGAACCACAAAGTATTTTAAATTACTTCATTGCTGTTGGTGCAAAACATACTTATTGATTTATAAACTATAGCGTGTTACATGAAGGATGCGTGCATTATACTTAAACCTTTTTTTTTCTGTTCCTTCAGTTTTACTAATGGTAACTAGGGGAGAATATGGTCTTTAGATTTAAAAAAAGAAACAATTTTTGAAAACATTGCAAGTTTGAACAAGTCACAATAAAAAAAGGTAGAGCTAGTCACTTCCAAAGAAGTTCTAGTAATTTGATTTTCATCTCTGGCAATTAACAATTGAAAATTTTAGGAAGATCCTTATGAATTAGAAGTAATAAAAACAGAATGTTCTCAACTTTGATGTAGACATGTGTAACAAAAGGGTTGCAGAGAATAATTGTGTTTGAAATATTGCAATTTTTAAAAGTTTAAACGTCAAATTAACTAATGACTTGCATATTGATATAATATGTCACCAGGAACTTTTCTCAATTTTTGTTGAATTGCATGGGTTTACCATACAACGATATGGAACCTCTGCAAACAGAAAATTTTGTTCATATTGAACAACTAAAAAAACTGCTATTCATTGATTGATGGTAATTCTGTTTTTAATCATTATTTGCCTTTTCTTTTAGCATGAAGTTACATATGTTTAGTTTATAATTACCAATTTTCTTACTTTGTATCATCATGGTTTCCTTACCATTATTTACATGTATGTACACTAGTAGGCTATCCGGGTTAATATTTTTCTTTTATTATCATTTCAACATATAATTTCTAACATTTTAATGATTTTAATGTAATGTCTCCATGCCACTCTGTCAGTTTTGGTCTTTTCCCTTTTGGTAAGCCTTTTTTTTTTTAAATTACAGGAGCAGTTTGAGTCCAAATGTCAAGAAAGCCAGGTTAGTTTCTTTGGTCGTACAAAATGCAGATTTTTTTTACTAATTGCCATGCTTTCCAAATTGCATCTTAGTTGCCGATTCCCATTAAGGGTTGGTCTTCATTGATAGGAAGTGTGATATTGGGCTTCTTAGGTTCTAAGGTTTCTAATTTAGATTTACTATGGGATGCATTACATCATGCAAGCTCACAAAATTCATTGGTCACAAACTCAAAATTTTGATAATTATTCATTTGTTTTTAATTGAAGCCCATGTTATCATTTATCAAATGTGGTGCCCGTTGATGCAAGACTCCAATGCCTCAAGGTGGGTGCCATCATTAAGGTGTTGACTAAGTGAGCACCTTGGTATATGGTGCTAGGTGCTCAGGTTCTTATTTAACCATATTTTGAGATGGTGTGTTATAAATCTAATGGTGGAGAAGAGAATATGGGTGATGAAGAAAATGTAGTAGACCTTATGCTATTGAAGCTACCATCTTAATTTTTTTAGCTGTTTAAACTTTAAACATGATTATATCGTATTGAAATTTTGTTTTAATAATCTATTTGACAAGATTTAATTATTTTGATGAAATTACACAATTTAAAATATTTTTTTATTAATCTATTTTAATACTTTATTATGATGATTATTATATTATATTTTCCAAAAGTATCCTTATAATTAAAATAAATGAATATTTTTAGTGCTTCTATGACTCTGGCTAATTCGCCTAAGTTGACACTTAGCACCTCAGGCTTGAGATAACCACATCTTTTTTAGGGCATTTAGCATTTTCGTTAACATTTATCAAAATTCAAAAGAATTTCACCGTAAATGACAATTTAGTTATTTTTTATTGTATTCAATAACACTTAGAACTTTGGAACTACTGAAACCTTGCAACTATTTGAAATCTACACATTTTTTGAAACCCATATTATATTATGTTTGTTAAAAATAATTGAGTAGAAGCCTAAACTAGTTCCTCAACTTTTAGTAAATGCCTAATTTAGTCCCTGACTTTCATAACAACCAAATGCAGTCAACCAACTATTAGAAAATGTCCTAATTCGATATCACTCTTAAAAGTAATATTTAAAGTTAATTCCATTAGTAAAATGTGAGATCATTTTAGGTATTAGGGTATATGAGAATATATTATTATTTTTATATATTTTATCTTTTATCATATTAAAAGAAATAAAAAAAATAATGGAAGTTAACCATAATTATTAATTATTCACTTATTATCTAGTTGATTAACTTTCATTAAGATTTTAAATTTATTTTAATATGATAAATGACTAGAATGTATAATGATAATAATATAATATTGCATACACCCTCATATTAAACTGTTGGGATAACTTCAATTGTCACTTTTAGCATGGTGGTCAAATTCAGATTTTTTCTAATAGTCAAGGGCTATATCGGGTCATTATAGAAGAGGACTAAATTTAACATTTACTAATCCACATAGGTTTGGTAAAAAGAAGAATATTCTCCTTTGATCATAAATGAAAAGTGTTCAATTGGAAAACGAAAGCGCTAATGAATTGGATTGAGTTACTCTTCGGGATAGAGTAGAAGAGGGGAGGAGATTCTCAAACGTAGAAAATGATCCAATTACTTTGAAAGAGCTGAACGAGGAGCCGTATGAGGTGAAAATCTCATGTACAGTTCTATAGAGTGACAATAAATGTGACTTATCTGTCAACATTTTCACTATCACTCCCAAAAATCAAACTCTTCCTTACATAAAGTTGTCATAGTACGATTAACCATTTGATTTGAAATCACTGCTTATATGCCTAGTACTGGCCATAATTCACAATAACATTTTGTAGTATTAGTAAGAGGAGGAAGGGTTAAGAATTTGACCGATGTGAGATATCATATTGTTCGAGGAACCCTAGATGTTGTCGGAGTAAAGGATGGCCAACAAGCGTGTTCTAGATTATTATCCAAGACTTATGTCATTTGATGTGCCGTGTGAATCGCTAGAAGCATGTAAAGTATACGACTAATCAAATAACGAATGTTTCGGAAGGGGATTGGTGCAGGCTACAATGAGACAAAATATCTTCTTTCTAAAGAGATTTGATTTAGAAATACTATATGTTCAAGGTCCAATATTGAAATAATTTAAGAGGTTATTGCTTTTTTGTCCATGTCAACAAACAATTCTAAATACCTCGACTTTTTCAGAACAGGCCCAAGTCCGACAACAATGATTCCAAGCACTCCTTTTTCCATTATACTATTTCGGAAACCCAATGACTCAATCATATGAATATGTTAAATACAAGATTTCCAATCCTAGTAGGAAAAGGAGGGGAATGAATGCTCAATTTAAAGTGAAAGTGAGTAAACAGAATTCCATACTCGATCTTATAGATACATATAGAATTCTGTGGAAAGCCGTATTCGATGAAAGTCGTATGTACGGCTTGGAGGGAGATTTTTTTCATATCTTTTGAAATCCACCCTACAATATGGGGTTAAAATGCTAAATTAAGTTTTTCGTTTTTAGCCCTTATCAAAAGCTAATTATTGAACCTCTTTCACACTCATGTCACGTCAAGATATTGCAGAAGAAAAAAAATTGCAAATCTGATCCAATTTATCGTAATCGATTATTTAAAATGTTGGTTAACCGTGTACCATGTTCTGAAACATGAAAAAAAAAACCATTGGCTTATCAAATTAGTTATCGAGCCGTGAAAAAGATTCAACAAAAGATAGAAACAAATCTACTATATGTTTTACGTCAACAATACGCCGGGGTCATAGAATTGTTAGTTGATTATCATATGCATTTAAAAAATTTAAATTTAAAAAAATTATATATTTCATCTAAATATATATAAGGGTATGAAGGTAAATTGTTCCCATGCAGCTGCAGCACAGCAGCACGTCAACAATACGTGGAGTTACTCCCGATATAACAGTAAAAACAAGACATGTAGTCGGGATCGACTATATTGGGTCATAAAAATTACGAACTAAATTTAACATATACTAATAGTTGGGGGACTATTTGAGCTTTTACTCAAAAAACAATTACAATAAAATTTTGTGTACTAAATAAAAGTTGGAGGGAAGAAATCACCTATGCAGGATCAAGTTTTATACTAGTACAAGGAGTTACTCAAAATGGACGGAATATAACATCCAAATAAAACTTTTTTTCTTAGAATATAAACTCTCTTTTTGTGCATGTGGCAAATCCTTATTTATAATCACAAAGTAACCTTCGATCTCCCTGTACAAAAAAAAAAAAAAAATCAGCCTCTTACTCTGCAGTCTGCACGAAAACCACAAGTACCAAAATTTCCTAAAGAAACTACAAATCTTTCGCACATAAGCCGCTGCTCCGTTGGAATCGCAAGTGTCCCAGATTAGGAATCCAGCTAGCCGCATAACCCCCCTGCAGAAAAATCTCAATAGAGGAAGCCAACCTTACTGTATTATGCTAACCTAGGGAATAAGATATCAATTCCAATTTTGAAAGACATAACAACACAGAACCAATTGCGACAACAGTAACATACTTTATCCACCACAAAAGCAAAGCTGCAAAAGTCACAGAGATTCCAGAAATATAAATTGATAACAATTATGAATACAGCGATGTTCAATAAACTGTAGGTTATCAATACAAATTAACTTCTTTAACAAGGTTACATCTTATTCATGTATTATTAAAATTAAATAAAAACACTGATACTTTCATCGCACATTATCTTTGACTTGCTTTCTTACTGCTTCCCTACGTATCACTTTTACGTTGCTTCAGAAAGTTCACAGTATCTCACCTTATATGCTTTAGTTTAGGCAGTTTCTGCTGCAATCTTTGCATTTTACTTCAACCAACCAGCCAGGACAATGGATTTCACTTGGGCACTATAAGTGGATACATTTAGCGAGGGTTAAGACTGTATGCCTTTTTTGGGGGGCTGTTCTCTCACATTTTATTGTTTTTTACAACTGGAGGAGGGTTATTGTTTGTTTGTGTTAAGTACATCCTTATCTTGTTTCGGCTCTGAAAAAGCTGAAGTATATCTTAAAGATTTGGAAATCTAGAAATTGCTAGAAGTTACATCATTCAATATCTTACACATTCTGCAAGTTAACAGCTAGAAAACTTTCCTTTTTCCATTGTGAAAACCAAGATGTATTTCAAGCATCTTTTCCATCATGGTGTTTACTGCTTTTGATACGATTGAACATTTCAACAGGTGTTTACTGCTTTTGATAAGATTGAACATCTAGTGGAAGAGCAAACACTAGACATTTTACATGCAGATGAGTACGTGGCTTTTGTTCACTTTTAGAGTAAACTTCATGAGATTTTCCTACAGCTAGACAGTGAAAAATTATAATTTCTGTCAGTTTTTTATTTTCACTTGATTGTTTACCAGACTTAAAAGTTGTAATTTTGCAAGACTTATTACTTGTGAAAAACTTAGTGTCCTTTATACCGACAGTCACTAGCACTTACCGGTGCATTTGACTGCTCCATCATGATATTGTGGTTATCATTCTTATCATGTGTGCTCCATCATGATATTGTGGTTATCATTCTTATCATGTTAATTGGATTACTATTACGCTATTTCCAACTATTTGAAAATTATTGCATTCTACTTATTAATGAAGGCGGGCTTGGATAAATAGTTAATTTGTCTCCAGTGTATCATGGAGTTCCATGACTCTTAAGTCATAGAAATAGTCTCTATAATAAATACATGGGTAAGAATGCATATATTATCTCTCTGAAAATTCTGTAATAATAGGGGTTCAATGTTTTAGATATGCTCATTTATTCTACCTATTCCTAGTATAGAATCTAGCTTCGTGGCGTGCTATAGGTTATTTTGGAGGGCAGGGGATTGCTCATCTAGTCCTTAAGCTATTTACTTTGGGAATTTTTTTGTGATTATTTGGATGTGCATATCTATATTCAAGATATGGTATTATGAATATAAATCACTTTAAAAGCCTTGCACCAAAATTTACCACTCACACTAGCATAATACATCATTATAGTTTAACATTTTGTGGAGCATGTAGGTACAACATATCAATCTTTTTTAAATAAAGCATAAACATAACTGAAATTTTGTATGTCATTATATCATTTGTTTTTCTTGTGTCATTGTGATAGATTAAAAAATTCTCTTAGAAAGCTTAGAATTTTGGTTTGTTGGTGATCTTGGGACAGAGCAAGATTATGATTAATCACTAATCAGATTGTTCATGATCGTGATTAGTGCATCAAAATGTGAAGATATCTAAGGGATTATGGATTTTAAATTTTTTATGTTTTGATCTCTTGATGTAGTTCTTGAAAAGAAAGGAGTTAATAATGCTTATATTCAAATCATTAAAGATATGTATGTAGGAGCTATTATTTGTGTTCAAACACAATGTGGTTTGACCAAGTATTTCCCTATTTCGGTTGGGTTACATCAAGGATCAGCCTTAAGCCCATATCTTTTTGCTTTAGTCATGGATGTTCTCAACAGACATTTGCAAGAGGATGTACCTTAGTGTATGCTTTTTGCTGATGATATTCTTCTTGTTGATAAGACTAAAGAGGGAGCTGAAAGTAAACTTGAATTATGGAGGTCAACATTAGAGACGGAAGGTTTTCGCTTGAGTAGATTTAAAACGGAATATATGGAGTGTAATTTTAGTAGTAATAGGCCTAGTGAGAGGATTGTGACTTTGGGCGATCAAGTTATTAATAAGAGTACACGTTTTATATATCTTGGATCTATTGTTCAGAGTGATGGTGAAATAGATGGGGATATTATTAGCATAATTCAAGTTAGATGGTTGAAGTGGAGGAATGCATCGGGCTTATTGTGTGATAGAAAAGTACCCCTCAAACGTAAGGGAAAATTCTATAAGATGGTAGTGAGGCCTGCAATGCTTTATGGTGCTGAATGTTGGCCATTAAAAGAGAAGCATAATACTAAGTTAAGTGTGACAGAGATGAGGATGTTCAGGTGGATGAGCGGCTTTACCCAGGAAAGAGAAGCATATGAATTTAATGCCTCTTGTAATCATTTTTTTATTATTTAGAATAATATTTAGCTGGAACTCTTGATGAAGAATTATCCATAGCCATTACTTACAATTAATTCTTCAACCATCAGGAGTAACATAAAAGATATCAAAGAGAAGCTATCAACAATAAAGATGGATGAGATACAATACCTTCAGAGTCTTTTGCAAAAGGTAATCAAAGGAAAACTTGCTCTCTTTGTTTTCTTTTAACTAATATTTTTCATTTGCATATTCTTAAATAATTAGAGAGCATATAATCATGATACTTAATTATAGTTTATTTTTAATGCTTGAGATTTGTGGGGTTTCATTTATTCTCATAGGTTGAAGAACAGAACAGAAGCATGGAAAATCAGATACAATCACTCAAGAAGAATCAGGACCAAACAATGCTTTGAATGCAGTGGAGAAGGTATTTCAATTCCTGATGATAATTTGTACGGTTATTTACATACAGAGCTCTATAAAATTACCTATTTATATATCTATCTATCACCTTATTCCTTCTATCTATCTGCATATCTTCCTGATAAATTTTTAATGTTATGTATGCGAGTACCCTATTGTAAATAATTGAATGTTTATTTTCATTGACAATTTGCATCTTGCAGTTGAAAAGCTGGAACTTCCTTGTATGAAGTATACGCCATGGATCCTGTCCTTGCTGCAGCTTTACTGCTTGAGCTTCTTACCAATATTTGTCCTCTACTACGCTTCTACTTAATTGTTTTTTTTTTCCTGCTTGCAACTAAACGTAGAATGCTTCAGCATTTGCAGATATTGAAACCATTGGTCCAATGAATATTTTTCCCTTTATTAAGTTTTTTTTTTTGTTGTTGTTTCAACATCAACTTAAATTTTGATAAAACATGACTGACATAATCTTATTCATTATAAATATTGAATAGAGATTTTTTAAAAATATAGATTTTTTTTTTTGTTGGCAATGAGATATTTTGTTAATTTTAGGAACTAAATCCATGCTAATAAGTATAAATCGAATGTTAGGTGGGATTTTACATCCCAAAATTATGAAAAATTATTAGGTGCGAAAACTAGAGGTAGAGATATGCTTACATTCGAACATTTACTTAAAAATTTGACACGTGGAGTGTATTTTGGTTGCGTTATTTTTATGCATTTTATTTGTGCTTTATTTGCATTTTAGTTACACTTTGAGTATTCTTTTGTTGCATTTTTTTACTGCATTTTACCTGTGCTTGGTTTAAAATTTTACGGACACATTAAATATATAAATTTAAAAATAAATTCAACGTGTCAACATTTTATTGGAGTCTGGACGTAACTCTACTTTCGATCTCTGCAGCTAATAATTTCTCCAAAATTACAAGCAAATGTAGAGCAGATTGACGCCTCTTCATCAGCTGAAAAAACAAACTAAGCGAAGTGGCAACATCATAAGCCTAAGATTCCTGTGTACTGAAAGAACTTTAAACTCAAATTAGACATTTATGCACATCCCTAATAGAAATCATTGGGAAAAAAAAAAAATTTTGGGAAAATTTTGAATGATGTGAAGTGCAGATTTGAACTCAGGGTCTTGACTCGCAACAACTTCTAATTTAGGGTTTAGCAAATAAGTTAGCTAATAACATCTATGATCTCTCTCTCTCTCATGTAATTCTTTGCCTGTTGTAAGTATCCTCGGGGACGAAGACCGGCTCGGCGCTTTGCGGAGGGATTTGTGGTTGCCCTAAAGCAATGCCTTGATTTTGTGAGGGAGACCAAGAGGGATATTGGCTCTTGGGTGAATGGAGTGCTACATAGTAAATGATTCCAAGAGAGACACTTGAGAGGGATAGAACAGCACCTCCGGAGAAGACTCCAGCCTTCAAAACATAACAGTTGTTGCTGAAGTAAATCTTCTCCATGCTTCTCTTATCATTGAGTGCAGCACCAGCTAGAAGAAGAAGGAATGCTATAACAAAAGTAAACCTGTAAAATGTTAAAATCAGTTAGTTCAAGCAAGGGCTTGAAGAAAGATTCCAAATGGAGAATAAAGAAGTTCCCTAATTAATAAATAATATTCCCAACAAAATAATATTTATCTAATACTAATTTTCTCGTGCACAATCCAAATCTTAAGATTTTGAATCTTACTTTCAAAAATATTTTTGTTAATATTTTTTAAATGCGTCTATTTAATTTAGGATAATATTTTAGTTAATAAGTGACATTATGTACATAAAATTTCACTCCAAATTACCTTACAATCTTTGTAATCTAGGAGAAATTAATCAATTTTAAGTTTTATTATATTCATTCTTATAAGGAATGAAATACTCATCTTTTTTTTATTTATAAAGTATTAGCGATTATAAAATCATAAGCCACAGCAAAAAGCTAATAGTCCTATCACTTTTATTAGTCGCTCCAAACATGTAGCCTATTATTAATATTTTTAAAATCTTCTATCACTCTACCAGCATGTCTATTTAAATTTACTCTAATAAAAACTCTTTCTTCAGGAATTAGGTATACTATATCCATCATGAATGTTTTTACAAGAAAAAAAAAAACGATTATAAAAATATAAAGAGAAAAAAAAACGGCAAGCATCAAACCTGAACAAAATTTAATCACATACACAACAATCACAATAATTTAGGAATGAAGAACAAAGAATAGAAGTCACCAATTGGAAGATTCAGGTCTCACCTAATTAAGTAATCAACATTCAAAAACACATAAGAATTGAGAACATTTTATTTTTGAAGAACCTGAGTAGTTCCTCATAATACTCTTGGATCTAGCCCATTCCTACAAGATTCAATTCAATATACTTAGATTCCGATTAAAAAACAAAATCCCATTTCAGCCTGGACAAATAGCAAAAATTTTGCCCCTATAACAGTGCATCATTGCAAAATAGCAAATCCAATCCCGGTTACACAGAAAGAAGGGTCCGCACATTGCTACATCAAGGAAAATCAATATCATAGGCATGTTTTTATCTTCATATCAATTATGTTAGAAACAAAAAATATATTTGTTAGGAAGTACTTGAAGATTTCAAGTAATTCCTAACAAGAGAGAAAAACATTAAAACGCTCTACAAATTCGATGGAAAAATCAGCAAAACAATAATTTTTATTGAAGAAATCAAACTAACGGAAAAGCAAGAAACAATTTCGAGAGGAGGATAGTTCTCTCCAAATCCCTAGATTAATCTAGGGCCCAAGACACCAAGAACAAGAACTCCACAATCAGCCACAAAACAAAGCATAACCCTAACCCTAAACATCTCATCCTATTTAATACATAAATTCAAATACTTTCCCTCCAATCCTAGCTGCCTCCTCCTTCCATATTGAATTTCCTAGTGGGGTCCACTAGGAGCTTGGGCGGCAATCCGTAGGGGGTGGACTAGCTTGGCCCGCCTTCTTTAAGTAAGAACCGGCCCAATGCTTTGGGCCGATTGGGCCGGTTCAGTAGAAACCAACATAATAATATTTCAAATAGTTAGTCCTAAAACCCTAGTAATTATTCGATGAACTCCACCAATTCACCAATTCCTTTTCTTCTTACACTTGTTCGTGTTCTTTTCACCATTCCCATTAATGTTAACACTCTCACATGCAACATACATTAATGTGCATGCAATATGCACACAGTCATAATGATATGATAATTTGCCATTAAAAGATATAGCATAATACCAATATGATTCAGAGGCTTACCAAGAGACAGCAAAGGATATCAATGCAACATTCCAGTTAGTGTTGGAGCGGCTTAGATTTCTCCTGCAGCATATGCAACCAGCAAAAAAGTTTATAATAGCTTGGGCCAGTGCTAGAGCAACTGCTGCCAGAAGTCCAAGATATAAAGCTGGGCTCTTTGGATATATACATTCTTCGTAAGCTCTAGTCAACACTCCAGAAGCCTGGAAGAAAAGGAAACATAGCTTTTAAACACAACTAAGACAGCCCAGCTCAAACTTGGCTTCATTTGATATAAAAAAAACTTAAAAACTATAGGAAATAATGCAAACAGGACGTTTATGGCATGCAATTGCTTTAGAAATACATAAACCAAGTATAGCTAAAAGTAAAATTAAATAGAGGTTAAAACAAACTAACATAAAAGAAAATCTATGATCACCATATAATGCACAAATTGCAAATTTTCTGATAGTTGGGGTTACCTTTATTTTACGGTTGGTTCCCCTGATGCTTTTTAGTTTCTAAGTTTTAATAATTTTGTGCTTTTGCTTTTCCATTTGTATCCTTAGGTGAGATATTATTTCAACAATGATCTTACTTGAGAAATAAATAGGAAGGGGATCAGGCTAAGCACTCAACACAGACAAAGCTAGCTTTCAAAGAAAAGAAAAAGAAGCACAAGTTCAAACAATGTTAAATATCCAAAAAAATAATGAACCAAGAATGAGAAAGAAGTCGAAATAAGATTTATTTAGGATAAAGTTGGTTAAAAAAAACAGCAAAAGCCTGTGTAGCCTAAAACATGAAGAAGCCATGTTTGGCACTATCCAAGAAGTATAAGAATTTTTCATAAACAAAGAAAATTATGGTCGAATGACACATCTACCATGATGATTCTGTGCATGCAAAAGTTCAGCTTAAATTGAACACAAGAATAATAATCTTCTGTGAGTTTTAGTGTTTCATGTAATTCCCACTTTAGCTTAGTTGAATTATTCTTTTAGCAAATTCAATACAATTTCAAGTTGGCAAAAGACGCAGACAATAAATGCTAAAACGCAATTTATTTAGATAATTTTCCATACAGAAAAAGCAGTTTAAGAATTATCAAACAAAGGATTGTCCAAATAGATCCAATTGTTAAAAAAAAAAAATGAAATATCAAATGCAAATGAAAGCAGATCAATTTTTTTCATTCCCATAGAAAAGCCTCCAAGCAGTGTTGCTCCTTTTACTCAATTTATCAGGGTTTAGCAAGATTTAAAATGTACCATGCCATATAATTTTTAGGTTTTAATCCACTCAAGGCTCATTAAATCTAAATTTACCAAATCCTAATTGTAGCTAAACATCCCCTTCAGATTCTAATCCTCTCAAGATTTACTGAATCTGTATTTACTAAACACGCATTTATCAGGATTTTTTTAAGAAGATTGTTCAGTTGTCAATGCAAAATAGAAGTAACAAGTACGGAGAAGCATTCCTTAGCTCCAACAACCCAACAAACAAAATTAATATTCAGAAACAAATAGATTTCTTTCATAATAAGTAAAGGTAGACTCTCCAGCAAAAGAAACGTTTAATACAGACAACTGAACTGATTGATAGATAAACAGATAGACAGAAACCATCCCGCCATCAGAGCGTCAAGATGACTCACGAAACCCTAAAAACAGAAGAAAATTACATAAACTAGAGAGAACAACAGAAGAATCTTTGAACCCAACTCTGATCAAAGACGTAAAAAAAAAAAAAAAAAAAAAAAAAAAAAAAAAAAAAACTAGATAGGGTTCCTTACCCTAATCCTCGTAGCCTCCGCAGCGAAGCCAAGAGCAGCCGAAAGAAGACCAAGAAATCCCACAGTACAACCAACCAGAATCACCTCCTTCTCCATTCACCTTCCTCCCAACGCAAAACTCTCTCTCTCTCTCTCTCTCTGTCCCTTTCCCTTTCCACTTAGAAAAATATTGAAGTCGATCGATAGTTCATTGAAGTAGTATATATTAACTCAAGTGAAATTTATCAATTTATTTTTTTTAATATTAAAATTTGAAAATTATTTCACATAAATTCTTTTTAATTTGGAAAGAATCAATTAATTCCTATAAATAATAAACAATCAATTTAATTAATAATAGAATTGAAATAACATTTATCAAAATACAACAACATCAAGCCTTTATCCCACTACGTCGGGCCGACAACATTTATCAAAATAATAAAATTTAAAACCTTCAAAAATCTATTTATCTTAAGATTTATTTGTGTCTTTTTTTCAAAATTGAAGATATTTATAACGCGCATAATAGCTTTTAAAAAAATTACATTTTATGCAATAGCTTTACATTTATCTCAAGTAAGTTTAAAATTAAAAAAATAATAATAATAATAATAAAGTTTTTTTCCCAAAAAAAAATAATAAAGTTTTTTATTAGAATAAACATACAAGAAAATTAAATAAAAATTTTCCAGCAGGAAAAAAGAGACCGTTACCTTCGGAAAAACCGGTAGCGTTATGTATCCTTTTACACGTAGAAAACTCACAAATGGCAGCTTCCCGGTTTCGGCTGTGGAAGTCCATTATTGGCTTCATTCGTTTTTCTTCCGATTTATCAGAAGATAAAATAATTTATAAAATTATTAGATAAGATAATGTTTAAATTTTACTTATTTATAAAACTTATTTTTTATGTTCAATAAATTATAAAGTCCTTCACCAAAAATTGTTCAAAACAATAATGAGATGCAAGACTTGCAAAGCAACCGGACAAATTATTAGGTCGGATCAACAGACCTAAAAATAAATCCGGACATCCAATTAAAACTTGTCATGTCACCTGCATTTTTTGACTGAGCTTTTTCTAAGCTTTAACTGCACTTTAGGTGCGCTTTAGGTACGCTTTGACTGCACTTTATCTGAACTTTTGACACGATTAATTTAAAATAATATTTTATTAGTATCGGACCTAATAATTTGCCAAGCAATGTACAGGGCATTTTAGAACCTAGTACAAAAAGCACAAATTTTAAAGACAAAAAAATCATACTGAGGTAATAAAATAATTATAGCATACTTCAAAATTCAAGTGGTCAAAAGCTTCTATATTACATAAAAACTATGTAATGATTCTTTCAAATAAAAGAGGAAGTGCACAGTATTTACATAACCAGAAGTCCTTAAGTATTTATATAGTTCAAATGATCAACCTTTTTAGTTACAATCCATAAATCATGAAAAAAAAAAAATGAGAGGGCTTCAGAAAAAAAAAATTAAGAGAAAATCTATTTTCATCCACAGGCAAGCTATAAAATAGACAAATAAAGAAAGACAACATAATCTGAAGGAAAGAAAAGCCCCAAAGCTGCAACAAACGCATTCACAAAAGCATGATAATATAGCACACAAAATTGGAGACAAATCTTACTGGAATTGCAATGGAACTCCTTGGACATGACATTGGGAATGCAGTTCGTTAAAAGGAGCTCCATGGATCACTGTTCTTCTTGGGGGTATGGCTCTCCGAGGTCTTGAAGATCCCGGATCCGAAGGGGTCCGGATCGTCGAAGGAGAATCCATGATTATAATCAGCGGTGCTTTGGATCGAGTCGAATCTCGCTATGGTTTTGCGAGGAGATTCGGCTGTGCCGATCGTGGACTCAAATCTTGAAAACTCTCTTGGTGTGTCGGTCGTGCTGCGGAAGGAATCGAATCTAGAGAAGGCATCATGCGATTGATCGGTTGTGCTGCGCATTGAGTCGAATCTTGCTAGGGTTCCGCTCGAGGGGAAGGTGCTGTCGTTCATGCCGAAAGAATCGAATCGACTGAAGGTATTGAAAGAGTGGTCATCTAGTCCTTCATTAAATTTGGGTGAGAAGCCAGAGTTGAAGAGAGGAGTGCTTGGAACTGAATCAAAGAATGGGCCTCTGTCTTTCCCAAAAACACTTGCTGCGCTAGGTGAATCTGCCCCAAGACCAAAGTCTCCAGGACCAGAAAAAGAGTCCAGCCTGCTCCCAACATGAAAAGCTTCCTGCCAAAATAAGTTCATTCAATTAAAACAAAAAATGGCATCTTCAAGCCTTCTTAAGATTGAATCACAAATACATTAATCTTGTTTTGATAAATCCTGCCAAACAGGAGTTACGCAAGTTTAACCTTGAATATTGCCAAATATAATTTTAATGAATCCCATTTTAACTCCATTTTTGTTTTGTTTAGTTTTGTTTTTGTTTAAGTTAGGGTTTGTCAAATCCCACGATTTATACAGCTTAAATAAATTTAATCCTCTAGAACTCAATGGAAAAAATCTAGCAACTGTCATGCCAAGTAATTTTCCAACTTTAATCCTCTAGAACTCAATGGAAAAGTAATGATAGAACAAAATAATTGGGAATAAGCTTGATTTAAACAAAGTTATGAATGCTATGAAATTTGGATACTTCTAGATTCAACAATGAAGAAAAAGAGTTTAGTAAGAGATTTAAAAACAAAATATATTAAATAGATAATTGGAAAGGAGTAATATCTTTCAATTCATAGTTGACAAAAGACTAATTCTATGACCTACAATAAGTTGGCCAAGCACTAGACTATGCTCGTGCATAAAAGCATCCCAATTATGGCCAGCAACCAATCTCTCAGGGAAGCCAAAAGTATATCCTAAGGATGCTAATTCAGAAGAGTAGAAACATAACGGCTATTAACAATATTAAAAAAATAGTAAATGTGGTATTGGAGCCTTCAGAATTAGGGCCCCATTTAGTTCCTTGAAGTTAGAAAACCAGTATTGAAAAACAACTATGAAAAAGGTCCATCATTTTACTAGGTGTGATTAGAAATCAACATGGGTTTTAAGTTTCACAACTCCTCAACCCCACCCACCCCCTTCAAATTTGATGATTTGATTCTACACATCAAATTAGCGAGAAAAAAAAATCTTCTAAAACAAATTTTCATCAACAAGCAACCAAATGAGCTTAAAAAAAAAATCAGCTCAATTAAAACGTTAAAGAATCCCAGAGAAGAATAACATTATTAACAGTACATTGAACTTTTTACCTTTGTCTTGATTGGATTGAAGCCCCAAAGAGAATCGGCGTCATCGCTGTCGAAAGTTGCACCCCAAGTTACCTCGTCAGTAAAATTCTCCCCAGATATGCTGGATTCAGGACCATCAAATTCACTGCTTTTGCGCACATATGAGTAAAGAAATTATAAAAGTTAAACTATAAGAGAAATAAAATACTTGAACATAGAAAAAGTTCATCCAAGCACTTTAAGATGACAAGATGATCAAAATACAGGCTTAGGCAATAAGAACAAACAAATACAAGGATTTGTTTACTCATGTAATCAAAACACCTCCATGTTTGAAACATCGAAAGGCGAATATTGGAATAGATGGACAACTTGAAGGAAGCACCCAGGCTTAGTAAATGTTTCATGCGCTAGAACAAAAACCATGATTATCATACCTGTGATGTTCTTTCGCATGGACATGAGGTGAAAATGTAGATTGAAATTCTCGAGATGGACTTTCAATAGTACTTCTTCCAGGACTACCAGAGGGGCTTCGTACCAAACCATCTTCACCATGCACATGAGACAATTCAGCTTCAGTTAAAAGCCCTCCGGTAGTCAAAGACTTACCAGTCTTGCCCTCTACTTTGGAGAAAGATGCAAGCTCCTCATCTTTAGTGGCTTTATCACTTTCATTTGATGTAGCTGTGACCGCTGGTACTTTGCCACTCGTAACTGAGGTGGACTTCAGTTTTTCAGGTGCAACAACATTTTCCACTTCAAGAGTAAGTTCCTTGATGATTGTAAACCCTAAGAACAGACGCCAGAAATTCTATTAAAAAGAGAGAGAAAAAGCTCGAGTGATTTAAGAATACATGAGATAAGCATATAAGAAGACGACAAGAATTGTAAGTACTTCAAAATATTGGAGATGGCATTTCCCAATCACATTTATCAAATGTTTACTTATATTGGGACTTGCCTTCAAAAAGGAAGTTTGATTTATGAGAGCTCAAAGTGACTTGCAACGGTGCTATAGCACATAAGAATCATTAAATAACATACAAATATTAATTCCACAAATTGGGAATTAATAAAATGGCTAAAATACTAGAGATAATATTGTTGTAAATAATCACTTAAACACATGCTAAATAATAAAATCAATTAGGTAATATCTAACAATTAGGATATTAATTAATATAATTAGCTAGAATCAATTAGAATGGAGTTAAACTCGATCAAAATCCTACAATTCCATCATATTGGGCAAGCTAGTGGTATCAATCTATTAAAGCCAATGGGTCATAAGATGTAATGATCAGGGAATCTGATTCCCGAGTAGATTGGGGTGAATATATGTGGGTTTTGGCTGATTTTCGATTTTAATTTATTAACAAACTTATAGCCTTATAGGTAAGTTAGCTCAATGATTACATTAGCTTGATTTTAGGTAATTGATATTCTAATGCACATATTAAGACAATGACTCGTTACATTCCTTGGATCAACTAGGAGATGTCATGAATAAGATCAGGTCCTTGGTCAATCTATTTGAATAATTGACTTGATATTAAATATATTTGAGACAGGATCCTAGAGGGTATTATAAAAATTTAATTTTTGTTAGAGCATTTTGGTAATTTATTATCCTCAAGAGAATACTGTAGTCCATATTAGGTCACTTACGGATATATGGATAAGAACTAGGGCGTTTAAAAATATGTAGTGTATGCTATAAATATAAAACTTCAATTTATTTTGTCTCACATCTCTTGGGAACTTCCACTTAGTATGGTTTATATTATTTTTTATCTTTGCACAGGATAAGAACTAGGGTGTAAACAAGTCGAGACGAGTACTTGCACAATCGAGCTAAGCTTGTTTCGTGCTTACTGAGCTCGAGCTTGAGCTCGTCTCGAGCTCATTTACTAAACTAGAGCTCAACTAATAAAAAATTTATAAGCTCAAGTTCGAATGGAAAGCTCGATCTTGACTCAATTGTTGGGCTTGATTTCTTAATTTTATTTTTTTTTTAAATTTGTTTTTAATATAAAATTAATTTATAAATATTAAAATATATCATATAATGCTCATTTAAATTAATTTTTAAATTAATTTAATTAAATCGAGTGGTTTAACGAGCATTCAAGCTTGCGCTCATCTAATATATGAGCCTGAGTATAGGCTTGAGCTCAAACTCGTGACTTGATAAGCTTGACTTAAAAGCTCGTTAACAGGTTGAGCTTGAGCCAACTCGGCTCATTCACACCCATGGTAAGAACTCACATGGAGTGATAAAGCCATATGAAATGCTTAGTTGAAATTTTTTTCACAAATAGTTATTTTAGGAATTTAATTTTTTTAATAAATTAAAGTAAATTAAATTTAAATTAATTTGTTTAAATCAATATTTTATTTTAAGTATATTAAATTAATTTATTAATTATTTAAATTATTCATTGAATCAACTAGTTCAAAGGAATTCTGAACCAGTTCACCGATTTACCAGTTGAACCAGCGATTCTAACTGGTTTACTCTGGTTCAATGTAGAAGCGAGTTTTATAATGAACTGAATGAACCATATGACCGGTTCATAGTTGAAACGGTCGTACTAGTCAGTCCAATCTAATTTTAAAAGCTTGCTATTTATTTAACGTTGTTTGTAGGCTTGTGTGACTTTCAATAGCCTTAATTGAACTTTTTATGATATTACTTTAACATCTTAATTTAATCTTAATGTTACTTATTATTTTATATTTTTAATTAATTTAATTCTAAGGCTTATGCCTCAAACGCTTTAAGGCTTAAGTCTCACCTCATAGAAAGATAACGCCTGAATAACCAATTAAGCAAACTATGCTTAAAAAGCTATTATTTTGTTCATTTCTTTTGTACACATTTTTTGCTTATTCCATTAGCATTTAAGAGAGGACAACGTCATACAATTCAACTCAAATGAGCAGACAAATGTATTGAATGTGTCAACAACACTTAAATCTCAAAACATGAAATTTCACATATATCCATATTAAAGATCAACAAAAAGAGGCAAAACTATAGCTGGATCAAGGATACGATTAATATGGGGTCTTTAAATTCCAATCGGATCAAATATCGATGACTGCAGAGCATTCTTTTTCTTCACAGCCGGATCAAATGTACAATGAATGCAGGGTCTTCAAACACTTATTTTCCTCCATTTATTTGCTTTTGATTGGTTTCAGGAAAGAATATCTGATCTATACATATCCTTGAGCATGATGAAGTTACTAGACTCAAGTTGGCAGGATGTTGGGATACTTAACTCGATGTCAATGAAAAGTTTTGAAGCACATGGATGGCAAGAGGCAACTAAGTTAGGTGTTAGAATTGAGGTATTAGTGAGGCTGTCAAATATTTGTGATTGCAGGAGAAAGGTTTTCGGAGGGAACCAATATTCAATGGTTCAAGAAGAGGAGACTGGGTCAAGGTGTAGAGAAGGAGATGAATCACAAGGTTTGGAGTAAAAGATTACTCCAAACCTTGTGAAAAAGAGAGAGAACTTGGAATGGTATGCATAGGCATTGAGAGAGGAAATGAAGGTGTGTCTACAAGGGTGAGAAACCTGGAAGGAGTGGAGCGCATAGGAGAAGCAAAGAGATCATGCAAGGCTCATGTTGGAGAAGATGGTTCAAGTCTCAACAGCAGGTTACAAGCACTGGGTTTGAGAGAGTTTATAGATCATGAAAAAATATAAGGAAGTAGGTTGTTGGGGTTATTTGGAGAAATGAGAGGCACGGATTTTAGGCGAATTGCTTGAGGAAAAACGAGATATGGGAAATATGTCTATAGTATGGGTTGCACGTTCCTTCAACATATCTTCAATACATCATGGCTAATTACTAGCGGAAGGGGATAATCAGACTAATTATCGCGTGTGCGAGAAAAGCATGAGAAGACTGTTTGAGCGGTGCAGATGGATGAGCATATGAGAGAAGTAATTATTTATGTTGCTTTAATTCATCACCCCCCTTCTCTCCCTCCATATTCTTCTATTTTTCTTCTTTTTCTTGTGTTTCTTACACGAGTGTGATAAGTGTGAAAGAACACATACCATATGCCATAGCCTAATTTTTGAATACATCCACATCTGAAAATCTGCAGAATAGAAAATAAAAGAAAAGAATAAGCCTCATCATACCATCATCTTTGTCAAACGTGTCCCAGCTTTCATCCCAATCAGCAGATCCTTCTTGAATGCCAGGTTGCCAACCTTTAAAAGGAGAAAAAAAAATGTCAATAGGTATAAATTAAAAAAAAAAAAAAACAAAAATGGTGAACTAACACATCAAATTATCGCCATAATGCATCAAAATTCAAATAGATAGAAAAGGATTAATTAGAAATTAGAAAACAACAAAAAACATTTTGAACTTAGTAACAACGAGTTTAGGATATAGACCTAGGTAAAATTTCAAACAATCTAGTAGGATCCTTAATTCCCAGAGTTTCAGTTCTTTCGGTGGATCAATGCCTAGTTTTTTTTAGAACAACTTAGGTAATATAGTATTGAACAAATTAGATACTATACAAATGAATTTCAAATAATTCAATGAAAATCTGTAAAACATATAATTTGGACAATAATAACTGGATGTAGCTTAACTAGGTGATTTACTTTTCATACTGACAATTTTGACAAAAATAATATCACTAATAAATTTTACACTTACAATTTCTTAGTAGAAAACAAAGCATCCGGGTGTTCAAATAATTTCTTATCCTATCACTACTATAAATTTTCCCCGCCTTCATCATTTACCTTCTAATATTCAACCGGGCTAAAGTTACATGGTTCAATGTAAAATAGGGTAAACTTCAAAATAGTCACACAATTATTTGTATAGGGTAAACGTGCTCTGATTTAGTCATTCGATCATATAAAATGGTTCCCTTTAAATTGGGATCAAATATATATAGTCGAGGGATTAAATATGAATTAATTTTATACCATAATTATAATATAAGGGATCATTTTAGATCAATTTTGTATAGTTGAAGCATTAAATTTGAGCAAACATGATATTCCATGACTAAATTGGGCACACATGAATAGTCTGGGGACTTCCAAAATTTTTATAATGTAAAATTATTTCATATTAGCCAATTATCCAATGAGATCACTACATGATAGTAAAATGGCAGAGTGGAAGTAGCGATCAATTTGTGCGACAGGAAGTGCTCATTGTCAGACCATGGCAAGGTTAGAATCTCAAACCCATTGGAATATAGTAAAAAATAAAATTTGATAAATGGTTCCACCGTGCAAGCTAATTTCTCCCCAATAGCTCTCAAAACAAAAAAAAGGGAAGTTTCGGAAGCGTGATTGCAAAAACCCATCTAAAACTGTCAGCTTTGGCAATTTTTTAGACTATGGTTTCCAACACAACCAATTAATGGCATTACTGTGATCCGAAGTACAAATACCTATTAGTCCTATGAAATTTAAATCAAACAAATGAGAATTATACGAAATATGGCAATTTCTCATGCAAGTTCTATTTGGCATGCTTCCTGTGATGCCCTATTAAAAACACAAATAAAAATCAATGGAAACTGTAAAAGCACAAATAGAAATCAATGGAAACTGCCCTTAAACCTTCAAATCCAACAGTTAAAATGCACAGAAGTTATTAAAAAGGATTTGGTTGTACTAGAATTACTGCTGTGCTGCCAAATGCAGCTTCTGTAGGAATGGAATCATCACCATCACAATCAATTTCATCACAACCGTAACCACGTCATGTTTTAGAAGCCCTCTTCTACCTTCAGTCCTTAAACTGAAAATGGTGTTTATTTTAGCTAATCTTTGAAAGAAAATGTAACCGTGTTAGCTTTCAACTTGCACTTCCCAATGCTTTCACAATAATTCTAGCTTATGGTGCATCTTACCTCTGTAGGTGTTTAAACCACCTCAATCAAATTTACGCTCTTCAAAAATAGAACCCATCACATTCAATAAAGTCGTTTCTAACATTATAATTTCTAGCTTTGCAATGCATTATCAAGATGCTGCCAACTAGAATTATTTAAATGGTGATATTTCCAAAAGAGGACATCTAGGGTTTGACTCCTTCAAAAATAAATAATGAAGCTTCATCATATAGATATTGATGATGGTTTAGCACCATCGTGGCCTAGCAAATTGTTGATATTGCAGCGCGTAAGTAGATATATGATATAAAATTGGTGTAGAATATTTGTCTATGATGAGCAATAGTACACTAGCTCATGTTCGGCATAAGAAACCAATGAGACCAAAAACTAAGCCTAAATACACATTTAGTACAGCTGACCAGGTATGCCAAAGTTTATAAGAAGATATTCAAACAAAGAACTAAGTTTAGCTTCCCTCTAATCTATGAATGGAAATATTGGTTCCCAATATTAGCCATGCGTACTGAACTAAACTGATTGCATGTGAGTGGATTAGCCTGGAGTGGATCTCTCTTTTAAAAATATGAATATGCTCGACCATGCAACCGAGTGTTGGATGACATGAATTTCCTTTAAATGTCACTCTTTACTGTACTTTTCCCCTATTTTTTCTTCAAAGGGAGCAATTGGATGGGCCCATCCAAACTATTTTCCAAGCATCTGATGCGGTCCTGATAAATTTGTGGCATAGATTATACAAATAGAATAGCTTGCTATGGTGGAGTTAGAAAGGATGCGATGGTTTGTGATTTAAAACAACTGTTTGTTGACCTCTAGGTATTCACCAACAGAACAAAAAAAAAAAAAGGTGTGAATGTTTGTCTACGAGCGTGAGAAACCTGGAGAGAGTGGAGCGCATAGGAGAAGCGAAGAGATCATGCAAGGCTCATGTTGGAGAAGATGGTTCAAGTCTCTACAGCAGGTTACAAGCATTGGGGTTTCAGAGAGTTTATAGATCGTGAAAATATAAGGTAGCAGGTTGTTGGGGTTATTTGGAGAAATGAAAGGCACGGATTTTAGGCAACTTGCTAGAGGAAAAATGAAATATGGGAAATATGTCTATAGTATGTAGGGGTGTCAATTCGGGTCAGCGGGTCGGGTACGGGTCGAACCCGGAACTGACCCGGCACTGTTCGGGTCAACCAAAACCCGACCAGTTTTTAAAAACGGGTCAGGTTTCTGGACCCAAACCCGACCCGATTCGGGTCTGGGTCAACCCGACCCGACACGAATGACCCGAAGTTGACCTAAAATTACTAATTTTCGGGTAAAAAATTGGGTCAATATTTGATTTTCGTGTCAGAATCGGGTCAAAAACGGGTCAATCTCGAGTTTTCGGGTCAAATATGAGTTTTCGTGTCACTTTCGGGTCAATTTCGGGTTGCTGGGTCAACCCGAGCCCGACCCGATTTTTAAAACGGGTTGATTTGTTCAATTCGAACCCGACCCGTTTCGGGTTGATCTGAACCAGGATTTTTCTGGGTCGTGTCAAAAATTGACACCCCTAATAGTATGGGTTGCACGTTCCTTCAACAGTTCTTCAATACATCATGGCTAATTACTAACTGAAGGGGATAATCAGACTAATTATCGCGAGTACGAGAAAAGCACGAGAAGACTGTTTGAGCGGTGTAGAAGGAGGAGCATATAAGAGAAGTAATTATTTATCTTGCTTTAATTGCCCACCCCCTTCTCTCTCCCTCCATATTCTTCTATTTTTCTTCTTTTTCTTGTGTTTCTTACACGAGTGTGATAAGTGTGAAAGAACACATATCATATGCCATAGCCTAATTTTTTAATACATCCACATCTGAAAATCTGCAGTATAGAAAATAAAAGAAAAGAATAAGCCTCATCATACCATCATCTTTGTCAAACTTGTCCCAGCTTTCATCCCAATCAGCAGATCCTTCTTGAATGCCAGGTTGCCAACCTTTAAAAGGAGAAAAAAAATTGTCAATAGGCATAAATTAAAAAATAAAACAAAAATGAGTGAACTAACTTATCAAATTATCGCCATAATGCATCAAAATTCAAATAGATAGAAATTAGAAAAAAAAAAAAAAATTTTGAACTTAGTAACAACGAGTTTAGAATATAGACCTAGGTTAAAATTTCAAACAATCTAGTAGGATCCTTAATTCCCAGAGTTTCAGTTCTTTCGGTGGATCAATGCCTATTTTTTTAGAACAACTTAGGTATATTGAACAAATTAGATACTATACTATTGAATTTCAAATAATTCAATGAAAATCTGTAAAACATATAATTTAGACAATAATAAATGGATGTAGCTTAACTAGGTGATTTACTTTTCATACTGACAATTTTGACAAAAATAATATCACTAATAAATTTTACACTTAAAATTTCTTAGTAGAAAACAAAGCATCCGGGTGTTCAAAGAATTTCTCATCCCATCACTTCTATAAAATTTCCCTGGCTTCATCATTTACCTTAATATTCAGCCGGGCTAAAGTTACATGGTTCATGTAAAATACGGTAAACTTCAAAATAGTCACACAATTATTTGTATTGGACCAATTTAATCCCAGTAAATCACGCGCACTGATTTAGTCATTCAATTATATAAAACGGTTCCCTTTAAATTGGGATCAGGGATTAAATATGAATTAATTTTATACATAATTATAATATAAGGGATCATTTTAGATCAATTTTGTATGGTTGAAGCATTAAATTTGAGCAACATGATATTCCACGACTAAATTGGGCACACATGAATAGTTTGAGGACTATTTTAAAATTTTTATAATGTAAAATTATCTCATATTAGCCAATTATCCAATGAGATCACAACATGATAGTAAAATGGCAGAGTAAAAGTAGCGCTCAATTTGTGCAGATAGGAAGTGCTCATTGTCACACCGCGGCATGGTTAGAACCTCGAACCCATTGGAATATAGTAAAAAATAAAATTTGATAAATGTTTCCACTGTGCAACCTAATTTCTCCCCAATAGCTCTCAAAACAAAAAAGGGAAGTTTTGGAAGCGTGATTGCAAAAACCCATCTAAAACTGTCAGCTTTTGCAATTTTTTAGACTATGGTTTCCAACACAATCAATTAATGGCATTACCGTGATCCGAAGTACAAATACCTATTAGTCCTATCAAATTTAAATCAAACAAATGAGAATTATATGAAATATGGCAATTTCTCATGCAAGTTCTATTTGGCATGCTTTCTGTGCTGCCCTATTAAAAACACAAATAGAAATCAATGGAAACTGTAAAAGCACAAATAGAAATCAATGGAAACTGCCCTTAAACCTTCAAATCCAACCAGTTAAAATGCACAGAAATTTTTCAAAAGGATTTGGTTAAACTAGAATTACTGCTGTGCTGCTAAATGCAGCTTCTGTAGGAATGGAATCATCACCATCACAATCAATTTCATCGCAACCGTAACCACGTTATGTTTTAGAAGCCCTCTTCTACCTTCAGTTTTCAAACTGAAAATGGTGTTTATTTTAGCTGATCTTTGAAAGAAAATGTAACCGTGTTAGTTTTCAACTTGCACTTCCCCATGCTTTCACAATAATTCTAGCTTATGGTGCTTCTTCCCACTGTAGGTGTTTAAAACACCTCAATCAAATTTACGCTCTTCAAAAATTGAACCCCTCACATTCAATAAAGTTGTTTCTAACCTTATAATTTCTAGCTTTGCAATGCATTATCAACTATCAAGATGCTGCCAACTAGAATTATTTAAATAGTGATATTTCCAAAAGAAGACACTAGGGTTTAACTCATTGGAAAATAAATAATGATGTTTTATCATATAGATATTGATGATGAAACTAGCACCATCGTGGCCTAGCAAATTGTTGATATTGCAGCGGATAAGTAGATATATGATATAAAATTGGTGTAGAATATTTGTCTATGATGAGCAATAGTACTCTAGCCCATGTTCAGCATAAGAAACCAATGAGACCAAACACTAAACCTAAATACACATTTAGTACAGCTGACCAGGTATGCCAAAGTTTATAAGAAGATATTCAAACAAAGAACTAAGTTTAGCTTCCCTCTAATCTATGAATGGAAATATTGGTTCCCAATATTAGCCAATGCGTACTGAACTAAACAGATTGCATGTGAGTGGATTAGCCTGGAGTGGATCTCTCTTTTAAAAATATGAATATGCTCGACCATGCAACCGAGTGTTGGATGACATGAATTTCCTTTAAATGTCACTCTTTACTGTACTTTTCCCCTATTTTTCCTTCAAAGGGAGCAATTGGATAGGCCCAACCAAACTATTTTCAAGCAATCTGATGCGGTCCTGCTAAATTTGTGGCATAGATTATACAAATAGAATAGCTTGCTATGGTGGAGTTAGAAAGGATGCGATGGTTTGTGATTTAAAACAACTGTTATGGTCAGATTTTTAAAGTCAATTGATATAAAAATGATTTCCTATCAGATTATACAGCAACATCTATTAAGATTTCATTTTAACTCGGACAATAAGCTCTAAAATTAAGCATTAAACTAATTTTCAGATGGTTTGCATTCTTTGAAACAAAGCTTGAACTAACTCCAAGAAAAATCCAAACATATAAGGAGCCCAAGCATTTCTGAAAATGATATAGAAAAGTTTATTGAGAGCATGGGCCCGACTTTCTTAGGATCTCTTAAAAAAGGATATAGTGAAATACAGAGATATTGTAAGAAGGTAACTTACAAGGATTTTTGGTCCAGCTACATTAAGTTTTTAGGTCATTATATTTATCTATCTGATTTTCTCTTTTGTAGACCTAGGCCTGTATCATCATTCATCATTAGCCTTATACCCCACCATCTGGTGCCAAATTTATAAATCATCACTCTCCTTGTTGGGTGCTTTGTGAGGTATTAATCCTACTTTACACAAATCTTTCAGCCCAATTTTTATCAAATTGTCAGCGATCTAATCTTTTTTCTTTCTAATTCTTCAACATTAATTGTCAATGCCCAACTCATTGGTGCATCTCCTAACACTTGTTATACATGCCCAACCCACTATCCCTCTGATATACATAATTTTTTAACATATCATTTTATTTTTGTCATATATTCATCTTGATATTAAAGGATTCATGTCATGATTATTCAATAAGTTTTATGCTGGCCGACGACTACCTAACGCAACCCTCCACTTTTCTCATCCAGGACTTGATACTTGGTTAGAAAATATTAGAAATGATCTTTCTTTACTAGATTTAAACGAGAATTTGACTTTTAACAGAACACAATGGAGAAAAAGGATTCATGTAGCCGACCCCACATTGTGGGACAAAAGCTTGATGTTGTTGTTGCTGATGTGTATTCATCTTGATATTCTCATCTTTTTTTATGTTCAACTTGTCTATCAAATGAATTCTTTATCGTCTAGACCAATAAATTTTTTTAAAAAATATACACATTTATTTCAACATTAGAAAGTCAAGTAGGGGGAACATTTGCAAAAATAATAAGGAAAAACGAACTTTGCAAGTCAACCTGCACTTAAAAAAATTATTTCAATGAGCTCAATCAGCTTTACACGGCACTAGCAAAGTAAGTTTTATTGCAGAAACACCAATTATATCACCCAAATAAAAAATTGTCATACCAAACGGAAGTTCCACTAGTGAAGTGGGCTTCGATCGTAAACCACTATCCTTACACCTCTCATTCAAAGCTTTTACCAGTTCATCCAGATCAGTTTGTATTTTCTCGGCGCGTTCCTGGAAATAGTTCAAAAATTGCAACTTGATTTAGGAAGGCGAGAAAAATATTTCATTGCAACAAAAGAGCATCTAATCAGCTTGCCTGAAGCACACCATCTGACAGTTCACCTTGTTCCATTTTTACAATTGCATTATATAACTCCATCTTTCTCTCCTAAACAAAGAGCAAATGAATTACCATCTATGCGGAAAAAGCAAAACAAGCATGTCGAGAAAAAAATGCCAAGTTTGAATAAATGTCTCGCACAAGCTGGTACTATATGATACCTGAATATCCCGAAACAAAGACTGATCCAGTGTCAGTTTAGAAGTCACATCTCCTGTCTGCTTATACTTTTCCTCATACTTCTTTGCCAACAGCTCAACCTGAGACCACCATTGGTCAGTTATTCTTAAAATGACAGGTATAAAGGGGTTGTTATTAGCTTGCATATCAATGGGATAGATCTAACTTTCAGCAATGGTTTATATCTGAAACAAGTCAAATTAATTCAGAGTAAAGAAGGTCAATATTTTACATGACTCTGACGCCATAAACTATGACAAACGAAAGTCCATGTCAAAAAAGCCATTTCTAATTGCTTGAGAACCACTACAGGAGTAAATATTTGAGCTAACAGTATAATACGACTCTAAATGAAAATTTTGAGTTATTGAAAACACAATGAGTTCAAGTTGAGTTCAAACAGCCATCTAAAGTAGCACAAAGATCAAGTCTGATTTGTGTCAACCTAACAACGCAAACTTAAAATGGTATTTTCATGCTTCAAATAAATGCTCAAATCCGACTTCTTATTTTTGGAATATACAAATCAGGTGTGTGTCAATTTCATGTCAGGTTGACAGTAAATTTTCATGCCAAGTTGGGATGTATTTGACTATTTGAGTTCATTGAGTTAATATTAGCATTTTCAACTGGTTTATAATGAAAGGGGTTGAGTCCAGGCTTTCTCCAGCCATAATATGTCATTTTCAGTTTGAACTCAAACAAGACCTAACATGAATTGACACACCTCGGAAAAAGTCAACATTTCTATCCTCAACTATGTTTGAGTCCACAATCATGGAAAACCTCATTGTCATTCATGAATTAATTTCATTCATGTCATAAATAAGTCAACATTTCTATCCTCAACTATGCAATGTTTAACACAAAATTGGGGTGTCCACCAAGCTAATTAGGTGAATTAAAACTGTAATTTAATGAATTAGGACTCGATTGACTTTGCTTAGTTGGGCATGGTATGATTAATAGGGCTAATACCCTTAATTATAAAATTCAATTTTAAATTGGCATTGCTAAATGCTTAATTAGTTTATTAAGGTTCATATCCCTAAATTTGGTTTAATTAGCTATCCTAATTAAAATAATGCACAATTAATACCATAAATGAGCTAAATTAATTGGGACTGACCATATAAGCCACATAAACATTTAGCAGTATCATCATTATTGTCATCGTCGTCATTATTGGTAGTCTTAACCTAACTATCTGGGACTGACCATGAATCCTCAACTTCAATCATTCTTGAGTCTTCTTAAGACGTTAAATCACTTTTGAATAAATCTTTTTGCACTTGTTCTATCCATATTACAATTTTTTCTACCTAATCTTTCAAATTTAACTTTATCCACCTATCTTATTGGTACATTTTTTTACCCTTTTGATGCATAGCCCAAACCACCTAAAGGCTCATTTGATTGCTTTAAGTCAGAAAGACATATTTTAAAAAATAGTAAATTCTGAAAAACTCATATATTTGCTTGGATTAATGAGCAGATTTCAAACTGCTTACATCTCAAAACTCTTTTGAATATTATGATTTCATTTTCAAATGCAAACTGAATGTAAATGAAGTCATACATTTTAAACATTTTTTCAAGCTACATGCAACCAAAATGAGCTTAAGTCTACTTATATCTTATCAATTTAAAAGCGTTCTAATCAATCCTTCCTAATTTGATACATTCAAATTGTCTATCACTGACATCTACAAACATTAAGTAGGTAGTTTGCAGTTGGTTTCTATATGAAGAGAATGAAATTTACTTGAGTTCAATGTGCCATTCAAGAGAGAGCTTAATTCTAGACGACTAAATTCACAAATGCTTTAGAGTCTTAGACATACCAGATATCAACTAAACTTGTGAAAGGCCACCCAAATATCCCACTTTCAGCACAAACACCACTTATAGAAGTTGGTACATATAGCTTAGCCCCGTTTAGCTATATGTATGCTAATGGATTTGGTCTGTTGCATAAACACAAGGCAGTGCAACTATATTTGCCTTTTACAAGATGTACGAAATATTAAAAGACTAGAAACGCTAAACAAAGGTAAAATCCTCGACAAAAAGTATAGAAAGCAGGAGTTTTCAGTAAAGGTTCCTTAATCAAGATGATTGAGTTCAGTTATTTTTTTGAAAAGAAATCTAGCATTTAAACTCTGGCATATATACCTGAACTTTAAACAGGAAGTGTTTACAAGAACATTAAACTGTAAATGCTGTTATCACAAGCTAGACCCAGCATTCCTATTTATTTGGAGATCTATGGTAAAGAAGTAAATTGGAACAATTAAGATTTCTCAATCATCAAAGGATCTATGAAATCGTGATGCACTGTTTGTTGATCATGATTACTGATTCACAAATAGAAGGAAAACCTTTGCTACTTGTGGAGTCCATTACTTGACAAAACTTGGTAAGTAGGTACCTATCTTTCATTCTCCATAAAACCCTTCAGACTATTATGGTACCCCCCCTCTTGATATTTTTAGATTAATTCAAATAATGGGCCCTATGGTTTGAACGACAACATTAGTTCGCCTCCTATAGAACCAAACCGCCCCTTGCTAGGCCAGTTCCACCTGAACCGGCCTAACAAATAATTAGCAGGATAAATTAGCAAGATGAACAGCACTCATCTCTCTTGTCGAATTTGGTTGGGATCTAAGATCAACAAACTAAGGTTTAGGTCCATCTAAAATAGTAGCTATTCTAAAATGAAGAAGAGAGTGCAAATTAAATATAGGTTTTATGATCGCTTTGAACCTTTTAAGTAATAGATGTCAAAATTAGATTTTTTTTTTTCTTTCAACTAACACAAAAATCTAATACTTATTAAATTAATCATTTGTAAGAGCTGGCAATCAGTACCTAATTAAAAAGAAAGAAGGGTTGATCGGCCACTGCACACATTTAGATTAAAAGATAACTCAACTAGGCATGATTAAGGGCCTTCAAATAGTTAATTTACACATGATTAGCCACTAATTGCATTCAGGGGTTGTTTGGTTGGATTACGTTAGGGTGTAAAGTATTTCAAATGCAGTGGTATTGAAAATTTTGGTGTTTGGTTGGATGAAAAATAAATGTAAAGTAAATATAGTGTAAACCATTCTAGTTTATTTTTTACGTAAATCAAACTCGTCCAATTTTGAGCGAGAACGGTTTACACCGCAAGCAAGCTCGCTTGACTGCCACCAACCGCAGCTAGCCGCTACCGCCGGCCACCTCCAACTGTCTGTGGCCACCACGCCTGCCACCGCCACCCGCATCTGGCCTCTACTGCCACCGACCACCACCATCGTTACTGCCAGAAACCACTCTTCGAACACCATCGCCATCGGCCCTCATTATCTTTAAACTTTACACTAAATTCATTTTCCTTCAAAAAAAAAATCATTCACCTGAATTTGCTTTACACCCATCCAAACAATTCCAAAGTATTCATTTTATACTGTATTTATGTTTTAGCCAACCAAACAACTCCTTAATATTTACCCAATTAAAGGCTAATCAGAGGTTAATTAAGAATAATTATGCAAAGAAAAAACATAACTAGCAAATAATAGACTTACAATTCGATTATAAATAATTTTGTTTAATAATATACTAAGAATTTCATTGGTGGCAAATATCATCGACAAATAATATTTAGTTAACCACACCAACAAACTAAGACTTTAACAAAAGTTATAATCAGTGTTGCTAAAAACATGCTTCAACAACAAAACATTGTGATGTGATTGACCCAAATGATTTACGTTGAGTTGGCAAGGCAGGTGTTGTGCTACATCAAATGGTGCACCAATTTAAATTATTCAGGTTCATAGATTTAATATACTATACACCTAAACTAATATAATGTGACCTTTCCTTTCCCTTCCAATTATCTCAAAATGCAACAGTGAATTGTCTACTCGGATGGTTGTGATGTATTGACGATATCAATATAATATAATATTATTAATTATGAGCATAAAACACCAGTGAATCACTCACGCACTCACAACATATCCATTCCCATTCCAGTAAGAAACTGTTAATGAGCAGAGAATAGATGACTAAGAGGAAGAAAGGGAAACTATGGAGGCTAAGGCTTGGTTTTGATGAGGATTGATGGATACGGAGGCTTGTATGAATAGTATGCTGTCCTTATGTAAGCAATTTCATTACATAATGATTATATGTAATGCCACTAGACTACTCTATAATCATAATTTTTAATCCAATCTAATTCATGATTAGCATATTATGTTGTTTCCTTTCATTGAGCATTTAAATTTTATGTTAAAAGTATTTATCTTGTTGAGCTTTATAGCTCATCAGATTATTTTTCTAATTGTTGTTTCAAGTAGAGAAAAGGACAAGATTGAGCCTAAGTGAGAATCATGTTTTGAATCTACAACCTTATGTTTTGATGTTTAATTTTGATGTAAGATATTAAGCATGCTAAAATAATGTATATGATGAAAATTTGATGTCAAGTATATAAACTTTGATGTTTACTAGAAGTTATATAGTTCGTGAATAAAATATTTTGGAATGCTTTTGCACAATTAACTTGATCTCTAGGAGTCTAGGGTTGTGTTGGATGGTCATGTTTGGGTCATTCAAGTGATTGATTATATTAACCATACTATTTTAATGGGTAAAGTTCAAGAATGAGTGATGGAAATATATTCGATCAGCCAAAATGCACCTGATCAGTCAAACCTTGTGCTTGATCAGGATAGGTCATTGTAGGGTGTGACACACTCGATCTGTAAAAGTGCTGTGCTCGACCTTCACCCTCAACCTTGAGTAGCACCGCATCTCAACTTGACCTACAGCCGTTCAAACTTCTTGCCAGCAACCTACAGCCAACATTTGACTCAACTTGCAGCTAACATCGTGTCTCAACTCTCGACATTCTGCATCCAACAACACCCAGTTCCGCATCTCACAATTGACTTGTCATAAAAGAACTAATTTGTGCAGTAGTTATGTATTGCTTTGATTTTCGAAGACAAATGGATTAAGTTAAGTTTGAGGCCATATGTGAATAATGAGAATTTGTGATGTACACTAAACATCAAGG